AATTATCCAGTTTTCTCCAACAGTTAAAATTATCGGATGCTAACATTGTCTTCTATGATATGCAACACAAACACCTCTGCTAAAATCTTTTTAAAAAGTAGTCTGGGGTTTCATGACCCTTTAAAAAGATGTGCAAATAAATAATACATTTTTGTGACGATGCAACAATGACCCGATTAGGCAAGTGACAATTCTGTCAACTGTCCCGAAACGCGAGCGGAAGTCTTGTATCCCAGACGAGATGCGCCGATGTGAAGCCGTTTTAAGAGAAAGTCAAAGAGAGAAGACGCGGTACAGCTGAATCACTCACGCCGTTTTCAAATGACTGATTTGATCTGATATTCTGTGTGGATTCAAACATACATGCTATAGGCTATTGAATAAATGTGTGAATATCCATCATTTTAAAGTCGAAAGCTGCGGGAATGTGTAAAACTATATGCGATGTAGCCTATGCGCAATCCCGCACCAAAACTCAGGACCTAATTAAACAATTCTATTATACAGAGTTTTGTGAAATAGTTTTCCATGACTTTTTCAAAACTTTCTGGGTTTATTTATTTTTCCAAAACTTTTCCAGGCCTGGAAATTGCCGTTTTAAAATTCCATGACTTTTCCAGGTTTTTCATGACCGTAAGAACCCTGCATCAGAGTGCACAGAAGTATTCTTAAAATGCGTTCTAAATTCTGAATAATTTGTAATAATTATTCTCGGTATTTTAAAGTGCCCACGACAACAATATTGTGTATATTCATTACCGTGATATATCGCATCACCGAATACCGGCACATGTCTAATAAAGATATAAGAACCGTCCATTTCCTTGGCAGGAAAATGTGGACAGCTGACAGAAATTCTTGAACATTTCCTGGTGAGATTATTTTTTAAAAGTCTCTGGATAAAACCTTTGTCTAGTGATAGCAAATGCAGTGCAGTCCAGTAAAATATGTTTGATAATGGAGGCATGCAGAAACTACATGAATGTGGTTCACAACTTAATATTAAAGCATAAAACATGCGAATGATGGAGTATTTTTGAGGCACTTTGTTTTCTAATGAGCTTCCTCATTTAAATACATTCTTCATATTTCTGAAATTCAAGCATGAACACAACAGCAGTCACCCCACAAACACATTTCCATTTACTGCCTTCAGTTACAGTAAATGTAATGCCTTTGTCTCGATTTCTGAACTGATGGATTATCATCTCAGAGAAGCATACCTTTTAAAAGCCTGAGATCCTCCAGAAGTTGTGTTTCAAAAAACACTTCCAAGATATTGTCAAGACCTATTCAGAGAAGAAAAGAGATGCGTTCAAGTAGTCTGACAGACTGAAACACATGTAATAAAACAAGTTTAATGATGATCAAGAATAAAAACAGACCAATAAGAACAGATGCACAGGAATAAAGTAATGCAATTATTTGAAGTGAGAGAGAAAGGAGGAGTGTAAACTTCAGAGCTCTTTAAGACAAAGCATCAAAAATTAAATGCCATTAAATTCTGATAATGCATAATCAGTCCATAAGAACAGACAGATAAGGATAAATGAATGCGATTCCTTGGACCGAGTGGAAAGTTGAGTGCAAAATTCAGATTTCTTTAAAGCTTGAAATTAAAATTCACGCCATTTTCTAAATGCATGTTACTGATCTTATTGGGAACGATTCAGTCATGCATGTTTAATTTTTTTCTGAGCTCGTAAACTCATTAGTCATAGAAAAATAAACTGTAGAGGGGTATTTTGCTAAATATATGCACCATATAACATATTCATTATACATTTTACTGTTCTTCAATGTTTAATTTATGTTTGAATAAATACATCAAGTTTTTATGACAGCCACCATTATGTTTAGGCCTATATTAAAAAAACAAACAAAAAAAAAACAAATTGAAGTAGAAATATTATGATGTAATAGTAACTTTATTATTTTAAAATCTTCATTAAGTGTAATTTCAACAAATCTGCCAATTTTAACCTTCAATATTATAGTAATGTAGTACCAACTGACTCTCATGTAGGGTTGCAAAGGGGTGGAAAATTTCCGGTAAATTTCTGGAAAGTTTCCAAAAATCCCTGGAATATTCCCAAAAAAATCCTGGAAAGTTTCCAAAATTTACTGGAAATTTTCCACCTTTTTGCAACCCTACTCTCATGTATATTTTACAGCATTAGTTGAGAGATTTTTTTTTCCTTGAGAAAATTTGGCATATGTATCCAAAATAATCGATATTGAATCGAATCGAAATTGGTAATCAAATCGAAAGCTTGTGAATGAGAATCGAATCGAATCGTGAAATTTGTGTCAAAACCCAGCCCTATTTTTTATTCATTTATTTTATATGTATTTTATTATTCATTTGGTAGATCTCGGTGAGTTTCTCATTTGAAAAGTATATCCCCACACAAAAAAGTGTGGGCACCCCTGATTTACATCATGATGACAACTTCATGTGTGCTGCACTTGCAACAGAATTTTCTTTAACTGGAGGATTAACTAGGAAAAAGTTACTTGAATCATGTTGTAGTTACATTTTCAAGATGACTAGTTAAAAATCATATAAAAATCGAGAATCTGTCAAATGTTCTGAAAAAAAAAAAAATAATAATATCGAGGTTTTATTTTTTTTTGCCATATCGCCCAGCCCTAATGTGATTATGATTATGAGAGCGTGAAATAATGGGTTAGCAGGCAAATGTTATAACATGAGTGTAAGAAAGATGCGCACATCCCACAAACCCACACAGGGCTCAGGTGCAGGACCAAAAAAAAAGTCAAACTATAGCAAAAATACAAACGTACAATACAATACAATATTGTCCGCACACTGATGTAACTGCTCCATAAAAATAATTTATTGTGGCAACGTTTCGACCATCAGGTCTTCGTCAGGCACAAATTACATGAAATGATACAACTCTTTATAAGTAACAGGTGATCATTCTAATTAGACACATTCAATTACTGTGCAGGTTAGGGCTGGACAATAATTCAATATCAATATGTATCGCGATATAATTTTTTTCAATAATGGTGATATGATTTTTAAACGGTACACTCCCACAAGGAGAGAGAGAGAGAGAGAGAGAACCGGCATTAAACTCGAATAAATACACAAATCAATACAGATCAATAATCACTCAAAATATTCAAACAATACTGAAGACAGATGAAAAAATACAAGGTGTACCGTCTTCTCTTTTAATTGTACATTTGTAACAACTGGATAATTTGTATTAAAGGGATAGTTCGTAGGGATAGAGCGCGTACACGCCTATCTCACCGGATGCCGCGCGCAGTTGGACATAGTGGTGTATTAGAGGTAAAATATGATATAAATACTGTTCGGTTTCTCGCGCAAACAGATCGTTTCGTGTCTTAGGACATCAATGTGTCGTCACGAGCCGCAGGGTTTAATTTGGATTTGTCTGTGCATGTTTTTTTTACTCTCATAGATTTTGTTACCATTGCCATGCATTATACGACTGACAGACTGCAACGGTTAAAGTTAAAAATCATCAAATGTGTTCTACTGAAGAAACAAAGCCACCTACATCTTGGATGCCCTGGGGGTAAGCAGATAAACATCACATTTTCATTTTTGGATGAACTATCCCTTTAACAAGCACCCACCCCCCTATAGTGCCCCTTTTTTGGTTTGGGCCACTGCCCCTCAAAATGTCCGTGCACGGCCCTGCTTAATGAGTGAGTCATTGAGTGTGTTATCATGCTGGTATCTTAAGGACTTTCGTGGACAGCTGACTCCTAAAGTTTTTAATATTCTTCATATTCTGTGTGGTGGTCAGATAGAAATTAATCTTTATAGGTATCAGTTCATGTAATTTGTGCCTGATGAAGACCTGATGGTCGAAACGTTGCCACAATAAATTATTTTTATGGAGCAGTTACATCAGTGTGCGGACAATATGTTTGTATTTTTGCTAAACGTTATAACATGACCACGCTTTTGGATTCATGCCGTTCGAAACTCAAATTAAATTAAGCTATACGTGGCTTTGCGTCTCACCCTCTAATTTCGCAGGATTATTTTCTTGTCATTCACTTTTAATCCATGTTTTCACATCTAAGATTTCGCAGCCATGAATTAAGAATCCGTTCTTAAGACTTATTAATTCGTTCCCTCATTTTAGTTAGATCATGGGTTATCCAGGGTAAAAATGAATGAAACACGGACAGTGGCCACAGATTAATAAATCGTAGGAACCAATTAATGAGTTGTAGGAATTATTTTTTTAGGCCTATATATAAATTCACTTTTTTGACCATTTACAGACATGTCATTTGCTTTGCAATATTGGGAGAAAACATGAAGATATGAGAACAGAGATGAGAGCACGATTTGAAAACAATTATCTGGGAAATTGCTTTCCATGTCGAAGAACTTTATTGTTTCTTTTTCAATGCACTTTTAAAGTTTGGATTATTTTCATTACATTTTCAGTGTTTTGCGCATGAGCCGCACGCAGTTCAAATTAAACTGCTTAATCGATTACATCTCTTATCGACAATTAATCATTGACATCCCTAATCCCAACTGTAGCTTAGTGCCATTTTGGAGGATATCACGACGTATGCTCTTGCTTTGACCTGAACATAAACAACGTGTGTGTCAGCGTACAACAGCCTACGCGGTTTACTTTCAGTGGATACTCTCCAAAATAGTGCTATAGGGTGACGCGGAGGAGATGAACTGTTGAATAAAGTTGTTATTTTTGTTTTCTTTGCGCACAAAAAGTATTCTCGTAGCTCTGAAAAATTACGGTTGAACTGCTGATGTCACATGGACTGTTTTACCGATGTCCTCGCTGCGTTTCTGAGCATTGATCGTGATAGGATCCTTGCAGGGCTCTACAGTGCAACCATTTCAGTCTCATTTGCGACTGAAAACTACTGCCTGCGACTATGAAAATTTTTTTAGGAGCACCAGTGCGACTGACCCGATCATCATCATACTTGTGATTGCGCTCAGGGGAGCTTCAAAGCTTTCTACGTGTTTTTTAGACAGACACAGACAGACAGATAGACACAGACAGACAGACAGACACAGACAGATAGACAGATAGACACAGACAGACAGACACAGACAGACAGACAGACAGACAGATAGACACAGACAGACAGACAGACACAGATAGACAGACACAGACAGACACAGACAGACATACAGATAGATGTCGTTCCCACGCAAACGCGTGACGTCACAGGACCTCGCAAACACCTCAGATTACCCTCATCCACCCTAACCTTACTGTCCCGGGGCCCGTTCTTCGTTCCTCGCTGAACACATCTGAGCTGATCTGAAAGATGCCAGATCTAGTAATCCTGATAACTGATCTCTGGCTAATTTGGTTCTTCAAACGAATGTGTGGATTTGATTAAAATATCTGGATGAAGTTGTCTAAGATTACTGCGTGTTCTCGTGTTCCTCGTAAAGGGCAGATGTACGGAAACCACGATCAGCGACGCAGCGATTGGCTGCGGCAGGACAGCAACGTGATGACATCATAACATTACAAAAAGACACCTGACGGAAAAACTTGACATTTCTGCAAACAGCCAAGCGAACAAAACTGCATAAATGGTATAAAACATAAATGAAATGTGCACTGTTTTTATTTAATTTAAAAATGTTTTACATGATTCACAATTATTTATATTCACGATTTCTAGTATTTGTACAGGCTTCACATTTTTATTTCATTGTTGTAATTAGCAGTTAATTTAATTTGATCTTTGAAGCAGATTTGTTATGTGACAGCATTAATGAAAGTGTCTTTAGTGTCTGCGTCTCCTGCAGCTCCAGCAAGCCACGCCCATAATATCTGCCAGCACTCAAATTAATGCACTGTACAGCATGTGTGTAAGACTCCAATACAGCTATGAAGTGATTATTTTATCATGAATTCATCTCTCAGTGAGTAAAACTGGCCGTGTCTATAGTATTATAGACTACACAACAGTATTATACGATCTTATATTATTGTAAATAACTGTCCCTGTATCAGTAGGATACTCTTGTAATAAAGTAGCGGTGGCTGGGACAGATTTTAAGTATCAATTCTGCTTAAAAAGATGCGATCTAGTCCTGTTTACATGAAATAAGCTGCTCCAGAGCCGGTTTAAGCTCACGGAGATGTTGCTATGACAGCAACTCCGGGATCAGCTTCGAAGAACCAAACAATCCAAGATCAGGCCAAATCATCAACAATCACATCCAGCTGAGTGAGTTAGCGACGGACGAAGCACGGGCCCCTGCTCCTTATCCTGGAGCTATTACATAACGTTATATGAATCGCGGTATCTAGACGAGAAACGGGCCGAGTGTCGCACAGGTAAGTGATAGATAGGCTTGATCTGCGAGGATTCCTCGATGAACGAAAAGCACAGATGAGCGAGGTTTATATCCGATCTTGACGGTTAGCGTTAGCATGCTAACTGCAGGAATTAGTGCTCACCTTTCTATTAAACCAGCGTGCACAGAGAAAGGTTTGTTTTTTGCTCTTACCCACGCTGTGGATGAGTTCAGACCTCCATCTGTCCGCGTCGCGGCGAATAATAAACCTCTCATTCGCGCAGAACCGCCTCGCGCACCAACTCGCCATTTTCTACTGAGAGTCAACACGGGAGCGCGCACGTCCGCTCATAGCGCGAGCACGCAGCGCTTCGGCGTGACGTCATGGCGTGCGCGTTTTCTCTCTCGGCGGCGGTCGGACAGCGCCACCTGCTGTATGCGAGGAAAACTGCGTAGTCCTGCATCCTCAATAAACAAGCTGCAGGTAGTCCAAAACTGCTAGAGTCAACACAGGGAACATCCAACAACATAAGGCACATCCACCATAAATAATATGAATAATAAACATTAATAATTATTATCATACTCACAACAAAAATAGCAAAAATGAAGGGAAAAATAACACAAAAGGAGCAAAAATCATTAGAGGTAACAAAAAAAAAAAAAAAAAAAAGGAAAAAAAAAAATTAAAATAAAATGAGCATAAACCACAACACACATTTAAACTTGTGTGATGGCAAAGCTGAAAAGAAACATTATTATTATTGTCAATGTTCAGAATATTTGTGCTGATATTAATATTTTTTGGGAAACCATGAGACATTTTTGGTAGCACTTTATTTTATAGTACGTGTACTTCCCTGGTACATACATGGCAAATATCTTTTACCTACAAGCAAATGAGTGGTAACACAAGGTACTTACCTGAAGTGTATTTACATGGTAACAAATAAGAAACATGGCTGTACTTAACAGTCGTACATGCATGGTAATTATTTTGTACATACAGACAAGTAATAATACAGTTTTTTGTGATAGAGAGGAAAAGAGTTTCAGACTTTCTATTTAGTTTTTTAAAGTACTTAAAGCTCTGAAACATTTTCACAAACTCACCAAAACACTGTATGTATTAAAGGAGGGCTTACTCCTTTTTTTTTTCCATTTGCATGTATGAATGTGATATTTACCCAACAATACAACAACATTGACAACATCCGAAAAAAAGAGAGTTTAAATCACACTTACAAAAGAAGATATCTTGCAAAACAAATGGAGGAATTGTTTCCATTTTTAAATATGAATATTAAATGCAAGCTAAATCATTCCCCGTTTTAACATGGCATCTGTTTCTCTGCACACATTAAACCTGTTTACATCATGTTTGCCTGTAGTGATCCTCTACTGTTAGTCGAAATTTACAGTAATATATCTTCTCCACTCATTTAACATTTGTAATTGCACTTTTAATTAATTGATACAGATTGATGCCTATAATAAAGCAACCTGAACGAAAGTTTTGTTTTCATTAAATAATGTTATAGTGATTGCCGCTCCAGATGTTAATATGTCAAATGCCAAACACTGGAATTAATAGATATAACCAATTTAAGATGATAGTGCTTTCTTAATAAAGCAAACAAAGTCGTCACTCTCCACAATTACAGTTTAGGAGGTTTGAAGGGTGAAGGGCTAATAAAAGATGGTCATGAGAACATGACATGAGAAATCAAATTTGGTCTTTGTACCATTAAAACATCCTACAAGTTTCATAGCTTAAGACGTCCTCCTCATTACAAACAAAGCATTTATTTCATCAAGCTCCAAAAACTGCCGAGGAGCGAGATGACGTCAGCTAGGTGCAGTGGTTTGAATCGACCAATAGTCTTCTTCTCAGCACAGGCCCCGCCCACTGGCGTTCAGTCGCTGATCACGCTTGAATGCGAGTGTCGCGTCGCGTCAAAAGCAAATAGAAATCAGGATCACTGCGCTATCTTGCCTACACTGGATACAGTACACAAGTGTTCGCGTTTATTTTGGATCGTGTAAGGATTGATCGGAGCGTTTTGTTTTGTAATCGAGGCACAGTGTCATGGAGAGTCACAAAGAAACATTTGAAGAGTTTATTTTAATTTTCAATCTACACTGGATACAGTACACAAGTGTTCGCGTTTATTTTGGATCGTGTCTGATTGATCGGAGCGTTTTGTTTTGTAATCGAGGCACAGTGTCATGGAGAGTCACAAAGAAACATTTGAAGAGTTTATTTTAATTTTCAAAAATCATGTTTTTTTATTATGTTATCATGTTTTTATTGTGTTTTATTGTGTTAGTTAGCTGTATTTTTTTTTGTCATTTTTTAACCTATGGTTAGTCCAGTCATAGTCCAGCAGGTAAAATTTAAGCTTTCTTATTATTATTATCATTCAAAGAACATTAACATTATAAACAACAATAACTAATAATTTAGTAATATGAAGAAAGAGGAAATTGAACATATGAAATCAATAAAAATACAAAAATGTATCACTATTTTACAACTAAAAAATACTAGTATGTAATCTGATCGCTAATCATTTTAATGTACTTAATTGTTTTAGTTAGCATCATCAGAAAACTGGCTTTTTTTAGTTTACGCAGCAGGTTTAACCATTTTTCCACAGACTGTTTTGTATTTGATATATTTACATATATATCAGCTTCTCTTTTATTGCTGTGTTTATGATATAATGATTTGTCTATTGAAATTGAGATTTATACATCGTCTGAAAGCTGAATAAATAAGCTTTCCGTTGATGTATGGTTTGTTGGGATAGGACAAGGATGCTTTAAATTGATCAAAAGTGACGATAAAGACATTTATAATGTTACAAAAGATTTCTATTTCTGATAAATGCTGTTCTTCTGAATTGTCTATTCATCAAAGAAACCTGAACAAATTCTACTTGGTTGTTTCTCGAGCAGCAAATCAGCATATTATACTGATTTCTGAAGATCATGTGACACTGAAGACTGGAGTAATGATACTGAAAATACAGCTGCGCATCACAGAAATAAATTACATTTGAATATATATTCAGATAGAAAACAGTTCTTTTAAACAGTAAAAATATTTCAGAATTTTACTGTTTTTGCTGTGCTTTGGATCAAATAAATGCAGGCTTGGTGAGCAGAAGAGACTTCTTTAAAAACATTAAAAATCTTACCGTTCAAAAACTTTTGACTGGTGGTGTAGATTATTCAGTCATTTTACACACACGTGTTTCAAACTCTGCTTTGTGCTGATGGTTTCAGGGAGGAGGGTCTCGTCACCGAGTACAGCACAGACAGCGAGGACGATATTCCTGAGCATGAAGTGAGTGGGCTAACCGTCACAGATCAAGAATCATCAGAGCTGACTTTAGGCAGAACGCGATAAATGGTTTCATTTCTTCAACAACACACAAACCACATGAACAGCTCGCTGACGTCCCTCTATCAGAGAGCAGTGACCCCTCAGAAGAGGACTGGAAACAGAGAGCAGGAGAACATCTTCATCGATCTGTGTGAGGAAGAGTCCTCCAGCCAGCAGTCTGTGTTTGTCATGAGATGCGCCTGAAAGTTTGACATACAGTTATTGTTGATGTTTGACATGCGTCCAAATTTCTCTCCATCTGCTTTGGAGATTTGAAGAAACTTGCTCACCCATCAATGGATCCTCTGCAGTGAATGGGTGCCGTCAGAATGAGAGTCCAAACAGCTGATAAAAACATCACAATAATCCACAAGTAATCCACAGCACTCCAGTCCATCAGTTAACATCTGGAGAAGACAAAAGCTGAAACACATCCAGCATTAAGACGCTTTTAACTAAAATATATATATATTAAGACACCATTATGACCCAGACATGCTTTGGTGATGTGTCTTTGCAAGTACGTCAACTTATTCTACCATACTAGATTCTACCATTCTTGAGCATACTAATACTCTAATGAGAGTTAGTTGGCATGTAGTTGCAAAGTTGCTTATAGTCGATTGATTAAGGGGACCATCAAAATAAAATGTAACCATATAAAACATTGCATTTTTTTCAGTTGAGTATAAAGCTCACATCAATTAATTAACATTAGCTCCACAGGAAACACTCAAATAACACTCAACATCTAACCACTCACAAGCTGTAGTAAGATACTGTGCAGATCTTAAATAAACAATGTCAAGATATGATACAGTCCATTATTCTGTAAATGAAGTAGATTTAATATGGTGTTCATTGTGTGTTATAAATAATCATACACTTAAACTTATAACCACAAATACGTAAGTATTATGATGTATTATAATTGTTGTTATGATTATTCATGAGTTGATATAACATATACGTTTTTTTATAATGCATTATGCATTCATTATAATGCCTTAAGAATACCCTTATAATGTATTATAAATACAGGCTTCATAGAAAGTGTTACCATTATGTTTATTAAGATTGTTAAAAAACATTTCTGAACATGTAAATGTTGTGTAATGAGTTAATTCTGGTTTTATGTTGAGGTAAGAGCCAGAGCCATGAGCTGCAGTTCTCGTCTGTGAAGTTTGAGGATTTCGGCGGCAGCGAGGAGACTCTAGAGGTGCTGCTTCACATCGCTTCACACATCCGGTGTTGGGGAACGTGACTTTTAAAAGTAACGCATTACAATATTGCATTACTCCCTAAAAATGTAACTAACTGCGTTGCTAGTTACTTTTTATGGAAAGTAATGCGCTACAAGGCATTATAATGAATGCATTATAAAAAAAAAAAGTATAATATGTTGTATAATCTCATGAATATTCATAAGAACAGTTTTAATATGTTATAATATTTACTTATTTGTGGTTATAGCTTCACAAAAAGTGAAAAGAATAAGCCTCAGGCTGAAGGAAATGTGAATATGTCTGTACAGTAGAGGGTTTGCTTAAACCTTTCAGTTGTGCATTCTGGGTTGCATGAAGAATAGTATGCAGGAGAAGAAAGTTCAACACTCTTCAGCAATAAAAAAAACAAACAAAAAAAAACAATATGTTTATATAAAGTAAATTTGGTTCATTAGTATGGTTGTATTGGATCATCAAAGGTCAGCAGCAAAGACACTGGTTAATAAAATGGGATTAGATACATTTGTGTTATTTAACATATTTAATTATTG